AAATGAAATATCAAAACGGTTCAATATAAAAGCCCAGAATCTGGAAATGAAGAGGAAAATATGCAAAGACCCTTACCAAGATTGAGGTCAGGTCCGGCATATGCGAGATATTCAGAGAAATGATTTTTCCTAATTTATAGAGCTTTGTATGAAGACGCGATGTTGGTGCCCATCGGGGTGGACACCAACGTGGCGGCCGGAAACTTTTTGCTACGAAAGCTTAAATTCATCTCTCGAGAAAATCATGAAAACCATGAAAGATTTGAATCAATCATTACATCAACATATTTAAATAAATTTTCATTTAAAGGCTTGCGTGGGCGATAGTCGCAGAGCCAAGAATCCTTATCCTAGGTATGAGGGACATTGTCTTTTGCCGCCGGCGAAAGATTACAAAATGTGATTTTTTATGTCAGAGTTAATTTATTGGCCTTTAGCCATTCGTTGACCTTAACAAGCTGCCGATTAACAAGTGATTCGAGTTTCTGCAGATTATTTTCAGATATTATAGTGATATAGTGAGCAAATAGATAAAAGGAAAGCAGCGAAGAGGACTTGTCAGATGACATTGATGTAAATTAGAAATAAGAGTGGTCTGAGGACAGAGCTTAGCGGCACTCCGCGCAAGGTCGTTTTTAGCCATAGACACGTTGTTTTTGACTTTCGTACTTTGTTTTCGGTCAGTTAGGTATGATCTAAACCAAAGGTTGCTTACTCTAACAGAACCTCATAGTTGCTAACAGAATCTCATAGTTAACTGTGCTAAAAGCCTGAAGATGATGTGACCTGCGGAAATACAAATTTTAAACGAAGATATGACAGTCGCGGTGGTAAATGCAATTTAAGCATGAGGAAATAAACCCGAAAAAATATCGGGACATCAACGGGATTCGAACCCATGGCCCCTTTGTTAGCGCTGCATCGCTCTACCATTTGAGCCATGAAGACTCATACATTGGGAACAGGCCAAGTTGTGGACTTCATCTTAACCCGTGCAAGGAATGACATAAAGATGATGTGAACTGACGAAATACAAATTTTAAGTGAAGATATGATCATCGCAATGGTAAATGCAATTTAAGCAGTTGTAAGTAAACCCGAAAAAAATTTGTATTTCCGCGGTTCACATCGTCTTCATGTTTCATTCCTCACGGGTTAAGATGAACTCAAGAACCTTTTCAGACAGTGTGTCATCTTCATCCTTAAATATTGGAATAATCTTATCATAATTTATTGATCACCGGAAATAAATTTCAGTTAATCAACAACTCTTGTTTGAGCTTTGTTCCATGTCCGGTGATTTTCACGCGCAACCCTATGAACTCTTCATTGTTTATTTGACCAATCACATGGCACTCTGCCATGTTCGATAGCTTGCATTCCATGTGCAGTCGCTCTGTTTTTTCTTCACGACCAAGCACAATGTCTTGAAGCGTTGTTTTCACATTGTAATGAGGCGTGGCGTACTTTTCTTTTCAAGTCTGTTGTGGCGTTGCGGATTAGATCTCGCCTCTCGCCTTGCATGGAGATCCCGGTCTTTTTATTTTACGGGAGAAGCTCGAACAGCTTCAGTTAGACGTTCTAATGCAATTTTCCCGGCGGACACAACGTTTAGGGACTGGCGAACCGGTCAACATTCCAGCTGACCTCGACCTGGATAGCCTCTTTGTGAAAGACCTCCGTACTTTGTGTAGTCAACTGAGCCTTCCTACCGCCGGAACACGCTCCGCGCTCGTCGAACGGCTCAAAGAAGCAAGAAAAGAAGCCCGGCGAACCCACCCCCAGTTCAAAATGGTGGCGACGGCATAGAACTCCAGCAACACTTTCAGCAGTTGCAACAACAAGTCCAGGGCCTGCTGAACCGCAACTCTAATATGACGAAAGAACGCTCTGCGAGAGCCAGCAGACTCAAGCTAAATCCTTGCTCCAAGCAACCAGCAACGAGACGATCGAACAGGCAGCGGCCGCAGCTGCCCAAGCTGCAGTGAACGCCTTCACTGGTTCTTCATCGTCTTCTCAAGCGGTAGTTCCTGAGAGAAACGCGTCGAGTGAGGGCAAAGTTCCTTCTGCGGTCCAAGAAACCCTAAATTCTACTGCTGTTGTTGGCGCAAGCGGGAATGATATCAACATTACTTCCTCTGCATCCCAGCGGACTTTGGATTTAGTACACGAACTCCCACCCAAGGTTGTGAGGGAAATCCTCTCGGGTAAGTTTATGGACATGTCCAAATTGTCGTGCTGCAGAATTGTTAGAATACCTGTCATTAATTCGTTATGCAGCTGAACATTACAAGAGCCTAGGCTGGTGTGTTTATGATGTTTCGCCAAAAGGCCAGTCAGGACCCTCATTCGTGCCANGTAGTTCCTGAGAGAAACGCGTCGAGTGAGGGCAAAGTTCCTTCTGCGGTCCAAGAAACCCTAAATTCTACTGCTGTTGTTGGCGCAAGCGGGAATGATATCAACATTACTTCCTCTGCATCCCAGCGGACTTTGGATTTAGTACACGAACTCCCACCCAAGGTTGTGAGGGAAATCCTCTCGGGTAAGTTTATGGACATGTCCAAATTGTCGTGCTGCAGAATTGTTAGAATACCTGTCATTAATTCGTTATGCAGCTGAACATTACAAGAGCCTAGGCTGGTGTGTTTATGATGTTTCGCCAAAAGGCCAGTCAGGACCCTCATTCGTGCCAAGTACAGTTAGAGGCAACAAATATCGTACTTGCCACAACTTCAATAAGGGTTTCTCATGTGCCAGGACCCCCTGCCCCTATGCACACACGTGTAACAAGCTAGGTTGTGGAGGGGATAACCCCCGGATCCAGGTGCCCTATCCCGAACCGGATAATCAGCCACCCCACGGGCTGAGAATTCCAACATGGAGCACCATAGCTCCCCCCACCGCGGCAAGTAATTTGGGGGTGTAGTCACTGCATTAAATGTCTTTATCACTTAGGGCTTTCCACAAGTTGCTCGAGATTTTCCAAAAAGATTTGAGTGATTTGTCAAAAGTTGCTCAAAACACAATCAAAAGTTGCTGGAAAAAAAAGAAACTATTTTTGGTCTGATGCTAAAATATGCAGATTGTAAAACAAAGTAAAGTAAGATTTCTTATTATTTTTGTGCAATTTTGCGACGTTACCAGCGTTGCTAAACAACTTTTCCTCAATTAAAACCAAAAAATGTAATAAGTCAAAAAAATTGTTGAATGACCTTCTTCACCCGAGTCAATCAAGTCAGTCGAGTGTGAATCTGTTATGGACTTGTGGCTTTCCACCATGAAGTATATACCGTGAATCTTCCTCCACCATTTTGAATTTTCTCTAAAAACCGCTGACCTAGCCTATCCCAAAAGTAGCTTTCCAGCTACTTTTATCTGACCTAATTCTCTCCGTTTACAAAGAAAAGTGTAAGCAACCCTTCGGTCCATAAAAGTCACGATGCTCTTTTACTAAAACCATTTAGGTAGACCGCTATACTCAGACTGCTTGCTGAGACGCCCTGGGGTTACTTCCTCATAAGAGGCTAATGGGGATGTGCCGTTGGATGGGGTCGCATTTTCACGACTGGGTTGGCTTTAATGGGGTCACAATAGAGTTCAATAGAGTTACTAGAATGGGGTCGTACATTTTCGGATTTTTTGGGGTAAGACATTTCTTCATACTTACGGTTAGCAAACGTACCAGAATGTTTGTACTGCAGATGAAAAGTAAAGCTTCCTTCATTCAATCTAAAAAAATCGGTCAATTCATAAAAATAGAAAGTGACTAAGTTGGGATCGCGAAAATTACATATTTGCCCAAAAGTGACTAAGATGGGGCCACAGAATAGACTATAATGAGGTAGGGGCTCTGAGAGGCCAGTGGCACATACCCGGGAAAAACTAACCCCCAAGTACCCCCCCTCCCCCGGCTGAGACGATTTTAAATGACGCATAAGTTCCTTTTTAAATGTCACAATGTATGTTAACTTTGTGAGCCATTTGGATAAAGAGAATGAAAGGTCCTTTGGCCTGTCGCAGTTCTGTACACTGGAATGTCAATCTCAGTTATTCTTGTTTCGTGCGTCTCTTTTGTGAATTTCAGACCTCTTTTTAAGCGTATAAGAGTAATAATTTTGTTTCTGTAGAATTTCTATTTATCACAGCCTGAGGTCAATATATAAGAGGTTATTTCTACTTTTCTTAAACTAGCGGTCAGCCATGGTTTAATGCGGAATTTTGTTTACGATTAGCTATACTTCTTAAGGCGGTGTTAATTTTTTGGTTGACGCATTTGTAAAATCTAGAAAACGATTGATTGACTTAAGTGTGGTTGCAAATATTATTCCAGTTAATAGCCTGCAGGTCGTCAATGAAACCCTTTGGACTGAAGTCGCGCAGAGTAGCCATGGATCTTAGATTTCTTAGTTGGGAAGAATTATTTACAGGCCTGAATGGTGGAATAAGATTAATGTTAAATAGGAAGGAAGGAACGTAATGAAAACCGGGATGCCAACTGAAATAAAATCCATATCACCCTTCAGACTGAAATAAAGTACTAGATTTACTTTTAGTTTCGCAGTAATTTTAATGTGTACTTAAAACTCACAATGAGTGTCGTATCCTAGCCACCTGATAGGCAGTCTGGGTGACAGGGATTAATTTATACTTCGACTTCTGGTAATTCTTGGAAACAAACCAGGATTGTCCTGTGTCACGTGTGTTGACGTTATCCATAAAAGGCATTCGAGATTGCAAAATAATACATGTTTATAGCCAAATATTGTATCCCAAGTATTCCGATGAGAGCCATTTGTAAGCATCGTCAAGATGATGACGTCAAGCCCAGTTTACTGCTTTGCCATCCTCCTCCAGCTGAACGAAGTCGTTGGTTTCTTCAACTGCAACTCCGACAACTGCAGAGACTGCGCTTCTAACACCGACGCTTTTGGTATCACGTGCAGATGGTGTAGAAGGGACAAGGAATGTCATACTCCAGGCGCGTTTTTAACAAACCCTTGTAAGAGAGCGGAAAATATTGTAGATCCGTCTCGCTGTGGAGAAAAGTTCTCCCATTATGACCCTGGATTGTCTTTAAAGATGTTGTTTCTTTCTGCAGCAGCGTATGATCCGCTTCATCCCCAGAAATGTCTCAACAACTCTCTGCCATCTGCCGAATTTCAAATACAGCATACTGTAACAAGGAAGTGTGATTTCTCTGATAACCAGTGCTCTGGCTACGTTGCTGTTTCCCATACCGTGAAAGTTATTGCCATTGCTTTTCGAGGCTCCGAATGTTTCGATCAAGCATTTTCTGTGTTTGTTGAGACTTTATTTAGCCCTAAAGAAGCTTTTTTAAGTAAGGGTAAAGTACAAACCTACTGGAAAAGAGGGTTTGAGACATTATGGCCGAGTATGGAATCGAAAGTGAAGGCTCTCATCGCTGACAATCCATCCTACAAAATTTGGGTTACAGGGCATTCTCTGGGTGGTGCAATGGCGTCCTTAGCAAGTGCATGGCTAAGTTATTACAATATTGCTTCTCGGGAGAAAATCATTTCGTACACTTTT